AGCTAACCATAAGCCTGTTGTATATCTGAAGATGACCTTGAACTCCTGATCCTCCTCCTTCCATCTGTTCCAATTCCAAGTGTTGTGATAACAGGTATACACCACTGTGTCTGGCCTGATTAGTGTTATTGAATTCATACTTTAAATCTAGATAAGCCAAAGCTATGGAGAGCTAACAGAAACAAGAGGAGTTACACCGTTAGAGGGCACTTTTGTAATTTTAGAAGGCTGTTCTTAGAGGCCAGCTTATCAAGGCTTACTCGAAAGAAGAATGCATTTCCAGTTGTTCTTTTAAAGTGGCTAATTCCTCACATGTGACATGAAAGCCAGGGACTAGATGGAGGGAGGAAGGGGCCAGCAGGATGGGCCAATGGAGTGGGGAGGCCTTGGATAATCACAAAGAGTAATGATACATAGGAGCAAAAACATGGCAACGAGATCTATTACTTTGTAGGCTAATTTTAAAAAAACTTTGAAGTGGCCAGTTCTTAGAATGAAAACTTTAGAGAGAACGTATGGGTTAAAGAAACTATAAAACTTTAAGATCTCTATTTAAAGAATCTCTGAATGAATCTGTTTTGATCAGTGAGTGTAAACTATTAATGAAAACATCTACATATTGTGCTTACAAAGTAATGCTGGACTACTCTTGGTGCTTCCTCAAAACACATTTTGCTAAAACTAAATCCTGTCTATAATATGAGAAAATTGGACAAATGGCAAATGTTCATCGGGGTACCTTTTCCCTCCTCAATTGTGTCATATGAAAATGTTGAATGGTCAGCCGGACAACCTAATTCAAGCTCTAGAACAGAAATGGTTCAAAGAGAGGACTTACTCCCCAGAACTGTCCTCTGACCTTTGTTGCTTGAGCACACACAATGGCACACGTGTCCTCTCCCACCTCAAATAAATAAGTAAGTATATGTTTAAAATGTTGAACAATAGTGTGATAGAATATAAATCCCTGTGTTTTGAGGTTATGCAAATTTTAAACACTTCTCTGAAAAAAACAATCTGCCTTGCTCATCAAAATCAACATGACAATAATGATGGTTGTCAGAAACCAAAAGTGTACCTGATAGGATTATGTTTGAGGAAATGTGATATTTTGATAAATAAAAGAAGAGGAGTCTAGATGAAACTTAGATAAAGAATACCAAATCCTAGACAGAAGAGACAATATAGAACACAAAAAGTGTTCATGGCACAGCAGAGCATATGTATGATGAAATAATTCAGTAATATATCCTACGTGCTAGAAGAAAGAGGCTGTTTTTAATTTTAAAAAGTTAAGTCTATTCTCTCAGTTGGAGTCTATAATATTCAGGCTAACAGTTAGTTTGTCATAGTTTTGTGAAGGCCTAAAGAAGGTGTGAGATTCCTGGGTCAGAGACACTGTGTCCTTCAGAGGAACAGCCTCAGATACAGTGTCATTTTCTTCAAGTGGCTTCCTGAACCCTAATCCCCACAAGATGATTCAAAGAGGCAGCTAAGTTTAGGGACTCTGCATCTTTGACAATGTGCAGTGATTATTCTCACTTTTGTATCTCAAGGCTTTATTTTCCAGGGATATTTAGTTGACAAGCCAAGCATCTGTAATCCAAAAATAAAACCTTTGAAATACTCCAAAAATATAGAATGTTTTGAGTCCCAGCATGATGACACACATCAAAAATACCACACGATGAACTTTACTTCATGTACAAAATTATTAATTTATCATATAAATTTACCTTTGGGCTATTCCTGACAGTCATGATGCATAGTTTTCTCAATCTGTGGCTTTCCTAAATACTCCAAGGCAATTGTTGGCCTAGTGGGGCCGAATCACCAAGTGGAACTGTACAGTTGACAGCTTTGTGGACAGACAGGGAGACTACTGAGGTGTGCTGCCCTGAAGTAGCCTTACCATTCTGAAGAGACTTAAACAATTGTCTTGGATCTCCTCTCAGGAGGCCAAGTTTGGGAACAGTACTACCCTAAGTTATTTGGTTAAAATAGCAAGTCTTCCTAAGCACATTTTATTGCATGCTTAGCAAATACCAAATGCTATTCAGATTTTCTAGTTTTTTCACCCCGGGCAGTAGTGAGAAGAGAAAGGGGACTAGGCATCTGTCCAGCTCAGCCCACCATGACCCTGTTTGGCAGGAACAAGTTACTTGAGTTTTGACTTTGGTTCACTCAGATGAATCTTGTAGACTTCTATCAGGATCTCACAAAAGCTTGCACCTAGACAACAGTGTCCCTTCTAGTTCTCTTTGACAAGCACCGAGTATTTGAAAGAAAGACTTTTTAATGGCATCCAAGGGAGCCTGGTGATTTTCTAAGTGCAAACTGATCCAGATGATAAGTTTAAAGCTCACTAACAGGATCCCCATCCATTCGTGGAGTTCAGGAATCATGTAGCCAAGCCCTCTAGAAAACTGAGTTCCAGAATGTTCATTTGCCTAAAATTATACATCTAGTAAAAGGCTAAAACTTAAATGCTAGCTTTCTCATTTCTCTGTCAAGTTTTATTTCAATTTCAGTGCAACTAAGTAGGGATAGAAGATGAAAAGCCGCAGCTTTCATGAGAGATACTGCAAAGTTTAAGTGCTGCAGTTGACTCTACCTGCAATTGGATCCCTTCTCTAGCTATGTAACCGGTTCCTTTTGTATGATAACAGCACCTACTTCATACTATATAATGATTTTGACCAATGCAGTAACCCAGTGTCATAACATTTGCTAAATAGAGGAAGGCAGTCAGAGAAAGGGGCTTTGCATGCAGTAACTCCATCACTGCTGGTATTTTGAATGGGAATATATATACAAAGCAGACAAAAGAATTGTAGAAGTTAAAATGAACTTTTTGGGCATGATGATTGTGAGAAACTACTCATACCATCATTAAAATGTTTATTGGTTCTAAAAATCATTTTTAAATATCTAAAACTTTTTATTTTTATGTGCATGTGTGTGTGCTTGTGTGAGTCTCTCTCTCTCTCTCTCTCTCTCTCTCTCTCTCTCTCTGTGTGTGTGTGTGTGTGTGTGTGTGTGTGTGTAAATTCCAAGTATGTGTGGGTGTTCCAGAAGACCAGAATAGGGCATTGGCTTCCCTGGAACTGGAGTTATAGGCTGTTATGAATTGCCCTATGTGAGTGCTGGGAACAAAACTTGGCTTCTCTAGAAGATCAGTAAGCACTGTTAACCACTGAACCATCTCTCTCTCTCTCTCTCTTTAAAAATTTATTTATTTATTATGTATACAGTGTTCTGCCTGTATACATAATAAATACCAGGTCTCATTATAGATGGTTGTGAGCCACCATGTGGTTGCTGGAAATTGAACTCAGGACCTTTGGAAGAGCAGTTAGTGTTCTTAACCTCAGAGCCATCTCTCCAGCCCCCCATCTATCTTTTTGATAATACTCAAAAAAAGACAGAATTAAAGTCAAAGTATGTTTTAAAGCCAAGGCCAATTAGTCAAACTTATAGCTATTTTAAATGATACTAGGATCCACGTCATCTCAAATTATTGCAAACATTTGACTTTCTCACTATGGAAAGCACTTAAGTATAAATTTTAAAAAGTGTATTTTTTTAATACTTAAATTCCTGGGAAATAATTCTTCACAAAATTTTATAGGCAAAAAAAAAAATAGAACAGTTTATCAGAGGAACAAAACCTCACTTACCATGTCAATCCTTGTGGCTATCTTGGCCATCTTACAGAAAACTGAGTCATGAGGAAGAAGTGGCCTTGACAGCATCCTTGTCTGTGTAGACAGTAGAGGATCAGTCTTGTCTGTGTAGACAGTAGAGTGTCAACCTTGTCTGTGTAGACAGTAGAGGATCAGCCTTGTCTGTGTAGACAGTAGAGTGTCAGCCTTGTCTGTGTAGACAGTAGAGGATCAACCTTGTCTGTGTAGGCAGTAGAGGATCAGCCTTGTCTGTATAGACAGTAGAGGATCAGTCTTGTCTGTGTAGACAGTAGAGGATCAGCCTTGTCTGTGTAGACAGTAGA